GTGATGATTATAGCACATCACCTCTACATGCCCTCCCACTTGCCCATATGTTAAGGTTTGTTGTTACACATTTAGAGGAGAGCTTTTTAACATAGTGTGGACACTTAGAAAGTCCATGGAGAAGTTTCAGGAGGTCCCTAAAGCCCCCTCTCCCAGAAAATATACAAATGCTATGTGTATGCACGAGTAGGTGGTTATCATCAGATTCCTAAGAAAGAACATGACCCTAAAGAGGTTAAGAATCACGTAATAGATAAAGAAATGGGAGTAACAGAATTTTCACATTCTATATCAGCCATTTTAATGGGCTGGAAATCAGGGTGCAAGCTGGAGTAGACAGAGGCAAGTGTGGTTGGGCTTTGCGCTCCCCCTCGATGTGCTAAAGTAGCTAATAACTCTCTGAGAGGAGCAAAGTCCAGGACTTGTATCTAGAAGCTGCTTGACCTGCTCTCCAAGTTCAGGCCCAGGAAAAGCTACAAAGATCCCCCAAATGTAAAATCCTTCAACAAAATGAAATGGGAATTAAGAGTGTAATGCAAGAAATTTAAATCTGGATTAAAAAATGGCTATATAGGAGGAAAATGTCTGGCTTTCTATAATCTGACTTCAGCTAACAAAGCAGCAACTCTGGGGCAGGATGAGGGAGCCTGGAAAATGTAGAGTTCATGGAAAATAAACAGGCTCATTGACAAGACAGCCCAGATGGGATTAGTTGCCCTTGAGGTCCAAGAAGTCAAATTAGTAGCAAACAAAATCCTTCCAAGAAAGAAATGAAAGTAGATTAAAGATAGGAGAAAGCAGGAGGGAGCACCGTGAAGGGACCCCAGGACTGTCCTGTGGCAGCAATCATAAGAATTTCCATTGAGCCTAGTGGAAATGGAAGCCTAAACCAAATCAGAGCTGGGCTAAGTGGATTCCTTTCCTGGGGGAGGCTAGGGTCTAATTGGATCTATAACAAATTCTGTTCCTGAAGCTTTTCTGATTTTTGTTCCAAGCTCAGCCTTTGCAACCCTGATTCAAGCTATTTCATTCCATTATTTCAACGGTTTCTAGGGCAAGAAAGAATATCCAGGGTTGCCAGTCTAAAGAACACATCCATTTTGAAGGGCACATCCATTTTGAAGGGCAAAGAGTACATATATATCCTCCCTTTCCCCTCTCTGGGTTACCTGAGTCTTGAGAAAGCTCAGGAAGAGGCACTGTCTGCAGGAGGAAGCTGACCTGATTCTAGACTTGCAGGTCGTGGTGAGTTCATAAAGAGATGGACGTGTTCAGGCAGTCCCTCTGCTAGCAAATACTCAACAGAGGTCGTGAGAAGATCTGGTCCATTAGTCATATACAGCTGAAAGAACAGGGTGAGGGTGGGGCTTTAAAAGTCCTCTATTCATTAAAAAAAAATCCCCCAAAATCCCTTCATTCAAGCATATATTTAACAGAATCTGCTGTATTGTGGGCCTGTGTGTCTGTGTTGGGTGGCACAGGAGGCACAGCAGGCACATAAGTCAGGGTCCCTGCAGGAATTCTCACTCACCTTGGGGAGACAAACACAGATGGGAACTGCTGGGGAGCAGGCATAATTTGTTCAACAAGGGAACAGCATATAATCCCAAACTACAAGCACAAGTGCTAAAGAGACTGGGTAGTGGGGCATGATCCAGATGAGGACTCCTATAACAATTACAGTCTCATTTAATTCTCAAAACAGCTCTATGGGGGGCAGGTATTATCCTCATTTAAAAAGTAAGAAAATTATATTCAGAGGGATTAAGTGACTTGCTGAAAACCCTATGAGTGCAGTTCAACTCTGGAACACAAGGGGTCGCCGTGAGTTAGAATCAACAGCAACTGGTTTGGTGTTTTTTGTTTTCAAGTCATAAAATTAGTAAGTTGTGAGACTGGAACTTGAGCCTAAAATAAAACAAACAAAAACCCGTTGCCATCGATTCCTACTCATAGTGACCCTACAGGACAGAACAGAACTGCCCCATAGGGTTTCCAAGGAGCAGCTGGTGGATTCGAACTGCTGGCATTTTGGTTAGCAGCCGAGCTCTTGACCACTGTGCCACCAGGGCTCCAGCACTTGAACCTACAGACTCTAAATCTAAATGTTCTTTCCACTACGCCACACTGCCTTGGATGAACATTTGCTCCTTAGTGGATAATCAGAACCTGGCAAGAGATTCAGTGACTTTTCCTCGTGTCAAAGAAGAGAACTGGGGTGAGGCCACAACTTAACTCCAAGTCTCATCACAGGCATTCCAACGCTGCTCCCAGAATGTCTTTCATTTGGTGGCTATCAAGGGCAATGCTTGGCCTGATCTTTGGTATCAGGAGCAGGAGATGCTAAAATGATTATCAGAGAAACCTCCTGAAGGAGGTGAGGCAACCTCACAAGAGGCATGAGGATGACAGACAATGGAAGTGGGCACTACAGGGAATCAGAGACTGATTAGAAGGGCCCACTATGGCCAGCACCATCAGCCCCGCCCATGTTATCTCCTAAAGTTGTACATACCTACATGTCTATCTGGGTTCAAAAAGGATTGTCTTTGCAGCTGAGGGTATTAGATGTTTCCTTCAAGAGTTCTTCATGCAATGGCCAAAGCCTCACATGAAGAAAAGAAAAGGCCCAAATCTCCTCTGATTTCTCCTCCACACTTTCCTCTGATTTGGCATCAGGAACCCAGACAGATCTGAAAGGATTTCTACACACTAAGTCCTACCAGAAAACCTCATCTATTTTGCTGAGCCAGCCCAAAGGGAAAGAACAGAGCCTTGGATTCTAGCCTGGATTTAATGACTTGCTCACAGGTCTGTCTCCTCCACTAAATTGTAAGGACAACACTGGGTCTTGCTCTGATTAATAGAAGCATTTAGTGAACATGTGCTGAATTAAACTGAACAAACTAGACCTCGCTCTGCCTCAGTGTGACTTTGGAGAAGCTCTTGTGTGTCTCCAAGCCTTAGCCCCTTCATTTTTCAAATGGGAATGAAACTGCCTGTCCTGCTGACTTCATATGGCTATCATCTGTCATGAGGACCAGATAAAATCATGCAGGTACAAGCAGTGTTAGTACCTTCCCAGTCCTATATAAATGTAAGGGATTAACCTGATCACTTATGAAACACCTATCTGCAGGTGATCTTGGGTTGGTTACATCATAATGTGGAAATTTCCTCCACATTATTTTTCTGTCCAAAATTTTAGACAGTAGATCCTCAATAAATATTTGTTATCTGATTTGACTGGCTAACAATTATCAGACGGACCAGAAAGGGAAAGCTCTCCCTGTGACTACAAGAGACTGGTAGGTGTTCTTGTGTAGGTCTGGGTAAAGACGTCTATCAAGGTAAAAACAGCAGGAAGAGTTGCGTGCCTCCAGTAATCCCCAATGTCCTTCCTTTTGACTAGTGGCTGTTTTCAATTAGAGATCAGGAAATGGCAACATGGTTAACATGTAACAAACACTAGCATCAAGGGAAGCCAATTTTTAAGACTTCGTTAACAAAAAAGAGGGAGTAAAAAATGTAGTCATAGACCTTTCATATGGAGAGGAAGTCAAGGTGGTATAAAGAAATAAAATATTGGTTTAAACTTAGGGGTAAATTTTAAGGTAACCACAAGGAAACTAACAATCCTACACATCAAAATAAAAAACAAGAAAAACATAGACTCAGCAAATATAAAATCAACAACGATGAAAAGAAAATACATAAAGAATCCCTTAAGCATCAGTCATTTTTCTCCTCTAAATGTAGCTAGCTGCCACATGAGATCAGCTAGTCCCTGAATCCTCCCTGAACAACCCTGAGACAGGGCCCTGGATGCCTGCACGGAAGCTCTTCTGTAGACAAGGACATCGTGGCTCAGAGGATTCCACTAAAGTGTCAAGTGCTCCCCACGCGTGGGATCTCCACAGGACCCACAGTGTCAGGGCCAGATAACATGCGAGCGCTCATTCTGGAAGGCCATGGGAGAGGAAGCTTTGCCATGGTGGGAAGCCAGGACGAAGTGCTGGCCCGAGGGCAGTCGAAAACAGCAGAGAGCCCTGACCCCCTAGGGCAGAGGAGACTCACTGAGAGGGCGAAAATAAACACCACTCTTTAACAATGTATTCCAGCACTGACCCAGTTCTCCCATTCAGCTTCTCAGCACTAACTGCCAGGATTGTATTGACCTGCCCCCTCCTCCTCCTTTCCTCCAATAACTAATATTTACTAAGCTCCAGGTACCCTACTTAGCACTGAACTGGTTATGAAGATGACCACAAACACAAGGACTCCACAGTGTCCCGGGTACGGGGCTGGTGTGTGTGTATGTGTGGTGAAACAACTGCCTGCTACAATGTGGTATGTGCTCCACTGACGGCGAGCAAAGGGTTGTGGGAGAACATGGAGGAAATGGTGTGTGAGCTGAGCCTTAAAGCGTCAGGTGACTTCTGCTGGGGGGTAAGGCAGAGGAAATAGCTTTGTAAAGACCTAAGCATGAGCACTTCAGGGGTGCTTGGGCGACAGTGAGTGGCACAGCGTGCACTGGGTGTGTGGAGAGGGAGGAGGAGTGTACAGTCTGCAAAGGAGAACTATATAGAAAGATTGTCAGGAGTTTTGATTGACCTGCAAGGAATTTGGACTGTGTTCTGTGGGCAACAGGTGGGGCAGGGAGAAGGGGGAACTGTTCACTATGGAGTAGAGTACAGGTGCAGTAGTGTTTGGAGGCTGGTTTGTACCAGCTTAGTGGAGCAGACTTAAATTTTTATGATTTTTGCAAACTGGTTGATTTCACATTGGTAGCTTGAAACCAACCACAGTAGGCATATTTACACCACAGAAATTGGCATATATTATAAAGCAAGACCTTTTTTTGGGTGAGCGCAGGTGGCTGGTAAACACCAGGATTGTATGTGTATGTGCCTATGTGCTAAACATCACACAGAAGAGGGCCAGCAACAGCCATGGAAAGGTATGCCAGGCAGAACTGTACAAGATCTTGGGAAACTCACCAGTCTCAGATTCTTCATTGCTTGGGGAAACATGCCTTGATGTAACTGCAGTTTGCCAACTTTCATTACCTGCACGCCTCTGACAGGATGGTTTCCTGGGTAGAAAATCCTGGAAGACACCAAAAGGCAAACAGTGTGAGTAGCTTTCATCTTTGCAGTAAGCATTTCGTCAGGAGACTATGAAAGTGAAAGCAAACCCTGGCTGTGAATGTTAATGAGCTAGTGAAAGAAATTAGCTCTGCAATCCAAGAGAATGCAATACTGAGGGGGATAAGCACATTATTAGTCTCTTATTCCCCAGAATGCCTTCTGCATTAGAAAAATGACAGACTGGTATAGCTCACTAATAAACAGTAGATGAGAGAAGCAAAAAATTGGATCTTGTTTTTATATTACGGAAGGAGGACTAGGTGCTAATCCTACCCTCTTCCATGAAGCCTAGCACAGGCCTGGTACAGAAGGCCCCTTAGTATATATTTGTTGAGTAAATGAATAAAGGCTTTCTGTACCCCTCCCTCCCCTTTAACTGCAAAGTCCTTCGACTGATTCTCAGTTCTAGAGTTCATCGTGACCCACCTTTCTTACAGACATTGGTATATTTATTTTATCATCTCACAGCTCCATGACATCCTGTAGGTAGGAGGCACTCTACTCATACTTGACTTCTTTCACATAACAACAGAATAGAATGGGGCGCTGAAGTGGGCCAAAGAATAAAGATCTAGGGTTATGTTTTGGGCCCTGCGAAGAGCTCTATGACTTCAGTGCAACAAGAATTTATTACACAGGATTCAACAAAAATGTGTGGTTTTGGGCCTTCCTGCCTCCATGCTTGGAGTTGTCTGAGCTTCTGCTGTATGTGCAGGATTGCTCCTGGGGCTAGGGGAAATACCACACTTTGTATGTTATGTACTTTTCCCTCAAGACCCAACAATCCCATTAGACGCAAGACAAACACTCATACAATAGTTAAATATTACAGGATGGGACATGACTTTGCGCCCCAATGAGGCCTGCCCTAGTTGAATTATGCAATTCAACATTTGTTGAATTGAACTGAGAAAATGATAAAGGAGTTACGAAGAGTAAGAACTGAATGACGGTTAGACCTGAGAAGGTTTCTTGAAGGAGGGAAATTGGACTTAAACTGGTTCCCAAAGATTTGGGAAGTACAGTCCCGGCTGTTGAACAGCACAAGCAAAGACATGCTCCAAATGCTGCTTTTCCAGAGACTGTAGATGCTGCCCGTAGACATCAATAAGATAATTATAAAAGCCAGAATTATATGGGCTTGCTATGTGCCAGGAACTGTTCTAATTAGCTGGTCTTTTTATTCATAAACTCATGGAGCCCACATTTAAAGCTTTACTGTATAATAGCGATAGGAGTCTCTGAGTGGTGCAAATGGTTAAACACACAACTACTAACCAAGAGGTTGGTAGTTCAAATCCACCCAGAGATGCTCGAAAGGAAGGCCTGAAGAAGTGCCTCTGAAAGGTCACCGTCTTGAAAACCCTACGGAGCAGTTCTACTCTGCACACATCGGGTCGCCATGAATCAGAACTGACTCGACAGCAACTGGTTTTTGTGCGTAACAGAGATGAGGTAGATTTACCAGGAGAGGCATGTACATTCCCTGATACGTGTGCACATATATGCAAGCCATTCCCTCACCCTGGATCTCAACTCTTCCCCCATGAAATGTGATATACTTTTTCTTTCATGCTGTTAAAAAAAAGAGAGGTATTTAAATCAGCAGAAGGTTGGCCATGCTTCTTTTAAAGAACTGAAAAGCGAAGGGGAGGGGGGAAAAAACAAAGGCAACACCTGGATTTTGGACGTTTTTTCATATCCTGAGTATGCCAAGAGGTCAATCACTTCACCTCTCACCCCTTACAAAATGAATATCATTATCTACTTGTGTGGAAGAGATTTTAAGATCCGAGACAAAAGGCTCAAGTGCACGCTGCCATTATCAGAAGGTAATTGCTGTGGACACTTTTCCCTGAAAAGTACACCTGGATTTGGAATTTTATTTTATTGTTATGAATGTGGCATAATTAAATTTAAAGGCCAAAAAGTAATTTTATACTAATAATCACTCCATTAAGTGGATGTCTGCCATGTCAGTTTGCAGGAGGAAAGAAAATCTTCAGTTCATGACAGCAGAGAAACTGGTGCATAATTATGCCATGACAGGTACCTGCCCCGATCACTTAAAGATATTAAAAAACGGAGCAGAGTTTAATAAGGAAAGGATGAGGAGGACGTGTCTGGGAGAGGGACTCTGTAGGTAAATATTTACGGAGCAGTTTCATAGCTTTGGCAGGGGTGCTGATCTTGTGCCTGGTTTGTTTCTGGGGCCTCCCATGATTACCTGTTGGAATAACACACCAAAAAAAAAAAAAATGGTGAAGCTCACTTCTGCTGGAAGAAGTTCTCCACCAAGGGCACAGGCTTTCATCAGCTTTGCCATGTGAGACAAGAGAGGAAAAAGCTTGCAAGTAGTCTTCAATCACAGAACTGTCAAAAATCAAGGCCAGGCTGAAAGGCTGAGCCAGAGGAGGAATCAGGCATGCCCGAGGAGTGCCAAGGACTAACATGGGACTTTGAGTGAGAAGGTGAGAGCAAGTGCACCTACTAGATGCCAGCACTGTGCCATTGATGGAAGGGATCCAGAGAATCCAGGGTGAGTCTTTGACCTTAGTTAGCATAAGCTTAGTTGAAGAACTGAGGTAAATTTAATCATTTACCTCAGGTGTGTGAGACCTGCCAGTCCATGGGCACAGACAGTGGGTACTCTAGGAACACTGGGGACTGTGATGATCAGGGATGGTCTCTTGGACTGGCAGAGCTTGAGCATGGACGGGAGGAGAGGACCAGATCCTGGAACAAGCGTGTGGGGCATGGGAAGGCAGGGGAGCTCTGCCAATGGTATTGGAGGCAGAATGCAAAGGACCAGTGAGCACACTGGTCTGGCTGGCCTAGAAGAGTGGGAGATGAGATGTGCACGAGGCCAGGCAGTGCAGAGGTGTGAATGCAAAGCTACGAAGTTCAGACTTCAGCTTGTAGGCAGTGGGGCACTACTTCAGGTGACTCAGAGTATTTAATCCAAATAGGAGACAGAGGCAGTTGGAAGACACGGACCCTGGTGGCTGAGAGACTTGAGGGTGGATGGTGGGGATGAGAATGGAAAAGAAGGATCTGACACAAAAGAGGTTATACAGCAGATGCAACAGGACCTGGGGACGCGCTGGGGTACGGTGGAGTCAGAGCTGACTCCAAGGTTCAGAAATAGAAACGCCTCTACTAGAAATACAAGCAAACCATATAAGAACAAAATCATTTGACAAGGCATTCTGCTTGTTTTGGTGTTAATAAATTTTCTTTTCATGAATACAGTGCTAGCAAGTACATGCTTCAGAATGCTGGGCCTACAATGGAAAAGCTGACTAGTGTATGTGGTGAATAAGCGATAGGAAGAAATGTGTTTAAACAAGCAGAGAAAAGAGAAGAAGACATATTAGCCCATAAGCACTTTAACCCATAAGTACCAAGATATTGCTGCCATGTTTTACAGGAGGCTATCTGAGAGTCTGGAACTGGAATACCTACAGTCAGCTTCCATGGGTGTTGATTGTAGATCTAAGTAAAATGAAATCCTTGACAACTTCAGTCTTTTCTCCATTTATCATGATGTTGCTTATTAGTCCAGTTCTGAGGAATTTTGTTTTCTTTATGTTGAGGTGTAATCCATACTGACAGCTGTGGTCTTTGATCTTCATCAGTAAGTGCTTCAAGGCCTCTTCACTTTCAGCAAGCCAGGTTGTGTCATCTGCATATTGCAGGTTGTTAATGAGTCTTCCTCCAATCCTGATGCCCCATTCTTCTTCATATAGTCCAGCTTCTCGGATTGTTTGCTCTTCATACAGATTGAATATGTTTGGTGAAAGGATACAACCCTGACACACACCTTTTCTGACTTTAAACCATGCAGTCAGTAGCCCCTTGTTCTGTTTGAACGACTGCCTCTTGAACTATGTAGAGGTTTCTCATGAGCACGATTAAGTGTTCTGGAATTCCCATTCTTTACAATATTATCTATAATTTGTTATGATCCACACAGTCAAATGCCTTTGCATAAAACATAGGTAAATATCTTTCTGGTATTCTCTGCTTTCAACCAGGATCCATCTGACATCAGCAATGATATCCTCGTTGTACATCCTCTTCTGAATCCAGCTTGAATTTCTGGCAGTTTCCTGTCGATATACTGCTGCAGCCACTTTCGAATGATCTTCAGCAAAATTTTACTTGCTTGTGATATTGCATGTGATCCATCTGTCAGTATGTCATACTGTGGGGGCTTGCATGTTGCTGTGATGCTGGAAGCTATGCCACCAGTATTTAAATACCAGCAGGGTCACCTGTGGCAGACAGGTTTCAACTGAGCTTCCAGACTAAGACAGACTAGGAAGAAGGACCCGATGGTCTACTTCTGAAAAGAATTATCCAGTGAAGACATTATGAATAGCAGTGGAACACTGTCTGATATAGTGCTGGAAGATGAGCCTCTCGGGTTGGAAAGCACTCAAATATGACTGGGGAAGAGCTGCCTCCTCAAAGTAGAATCGACATAGATGGAGTCAAGCTTTCGGGACCTTCATTTGCTGATGTGACACGACTCAAAATGAGAAGAAACAGCTGCAAACATCAGTTAATAATCGGAACGTGGAATGTACGAAGTATGAAGCTAGGAAAATTGGAAGTCGTCAAAAATGAAATGGAATGCATAAACATCATACCCACTAGGATGGCTATAATAAAAAAAGACAGATAATAGCAAGTATTGGCAAAGATGCAGAGAAATTGGAACTCTCATACAGTGCTGGTGGGAATGTAAAATGGTGTAGCTGCTTTGGCAGTTTGTCAGTTCCTCAGACTGTTAAAACACCGAGTTACCATAAGACCCAGCAATTCTTCTCCTAGGTATCTACCCCAAAGAATTAAAAACATATGTCCACATAAAAATTTGTACAGTTTATGTTCACAGCAGGATCATTCATAATAGCCCAAAAGTGGAAACAGCCCAAATGTCCATTAGTTAAT